AAAATATATACGTACATAAGTTGTATAAATTTTTATGATTTATAACTCCAGTTAAAAAACTATAACAGCAGTAGAGTAATAACGTACTGTCAGGTAGGTCGATATTTAAAACTTGTTAGGGGTGCAGCTACGTCACTCGACGTATCCCATGGACCTGGGAATAAAGGGGAAGCTGGTCTGGTCAGCATTATTGATTTTACATTTACATTCAATTCTAGTTAAATTCATTTCTTCCGTTGAACCTGAGTAGGGGCAGTGGAATCATGAGAGGGATGGGTCACGTCTAAATGCAGCAGGAAATGTGAATGAGAATTAAATATAATGGAAAGATTGAAGGAAGACGCTGGGCGCATGATGTGTAGAGGCTGTCACAGGGCATGAGAGCTCTCAGAAGGTCTGTACGCTTCCCCCCTACCATCGAATATTCCCCAATTTCTCTCCAACGTCTAAGATATTACAGGATCTTCACTACTCCCCACTACTGCTGCTGGATGAAAAGGGGGAAGTGAAGGGGCAGCATGCATTACAACTCCCCCTATCTGTGAGCCCTGGGGGTATACCCTGTTGCTAGTCAGCATCCGGTATCATGGCAACGAGAAGCTCCTTCGTAACCCCTCGATGGTCTCACCCCGTTCATCCCTTCTGCTGCCCAGATGCGCGCGCTTACACAGCGAGCTGTTCGAGGCAACGGGATAGCGGGATGCAACAGTAGGCACTTGCGGTGCAACAGAGGGACCAGCAAACTGACAGAGTTCTCCTACTAACTGAGTGAATTTCAAATTACATATCAATTATCGGGTTCTGTTAACAATTGTGGATAACAAAATGGAGTATACTACGGAATTGCAAGAAAAACTGATCGACTTAGTGGAAAAACGTTCAACTATTTGGGATCCACGATATAAGAACCATGTAAATAGAGATGACTTGGATATATGTTGGAGGGAAATAGGAAGAACTATCGGATTGTCAGGTATTACTTTCCTATACTTTGAATTCAATCAGACAACTTGAATAGTTTTTATACAAATTATTCTTGATTTTCTCTGTAAAATAATTCCTTGTTGCAAGATACTTGAAAATAATNGAAAAGAAGCAAGTAAAATGTGGAAGAGCTTACGGCATGAATTTAAAAGACAATATAGCCAAGAAAAAGCTAAGGCAGCGAATGGAGCCAGTCCTGAACAGTTCGAATCCACCTGGCCGCTTTTCACTAAATTACTGTTCTTAAAAGAGAAGGGGAGACACCAGAAAGCTGAACCTGTAACACGTGAATCTGTAATACGTCTAGTAAGCAACTCAATGGTGTCCGTAAAAGAGGAACCATTGGAACACGATGAAGCAACGACATTCTTATCATCTGATGTCAATGCAATGCCTCCTTTTAAGAAACTGAAAACACTAAACGCAGACGTGACGTTGACCGTAGCGAAAACAGAAAAATTTAATAAAAACGTGAAACGAGATTACGACGTGGACGACGAAGACATTGGCTTCTTCAATTCGTTGTTACCACACGTGAGGAGACTGTCCCTTTCTAGAAAATTTATATTTAGAATGGAAACGCAGAAATTGGTCTATGATCTAACATTTGCTCCAAGTTTCTTAGAGGAGAGACAAGAACAGTCACAACAACCAGGTTGACAGTAATATATTTTAATATCAATGTTAATATTATTAGAAGTCGGTGTAGGTCGTGGGGCGACGTACAGGGAAGTGTGCAGGAAGATGCACGTGCAGTGCGGTGCTGAACAAAGCTTATGTGAAGGGACCACGTCACAAGATCCATGATCTGTCATTCCCAGTGGTGGGCAAAGT